AGTGTCACTTCGTGGCAATGTAGGTAGCGCGAGCAGTTCGTTACTTACACAAGACTCCTTGCAGTGGTGCTGTGTAATTGTAACAGATCATCATCACCTCAATTTAATCAGATTTTAAGAATGCAAAAAGAGTTCCATCGTTCATATTAATTGTTTTATTATAATTTGTGAAGAAAATATGAACATTTGCTGCTACTGTCTGTTGTCATTAATATACGATAATTTATTCTCACCTACTTTGTATTTAGTTTATGAAATTCTGTGCTTTCAATAAAACTCATATACCTAGAGTTATTAATTTCTCATTTTATCCGGCCCGTTGAAAGTGCTGAATTACCTAATGTTGCCCGCGTTTCGAAAAGTTTGGAGACCCCTGATGTAGACTATTGTCTTCTTCAAGTTAAGCAGGAGCATAAAATGCTCACTTCATCCTACCGAACGTTATACATACATACATACATATAAACTTGGTAATTTTAGTTTAAAATATTCTAAGTTCACTAGAGGTTCATTATAAAAGCAGAACAAAATAATATAATATTAGTAGATTGCTATTTGTTCATTTTATGTCTATATATATATATATATATATATATATATAGACATAAACTTAATTTTAGTTCAAAATATTTTAGGTTCACTAGTTTTTCATTATAAAAGTAGAACAAAACAAAATAGTATTAGTATGTTGCAATTTGTTTATTTTTATTTTTACATATAACAGCTGTAATGCATGACAGCACCATTACTATATCTCAGAATGAACACTTGCAGAAGAACCAGAAAGTTTCCATTTGATTACATTTTCCACTTAGGAGAACCATAATATATACTGCAACTTATTATAAGTGAAAGGTATTTAACTGAATACGGAACTTCTTAAAAACTAAACACTCTTAAAATATTAATCAGTATTGCTAAAATAAATCTTACCACGCACTAGACTTGTGAAGTTGCACACTTAACTTCTACCATTTGACCATTTTTATATCCCATTTGATGAAATAATGGGTTAGTCGTTTCCAAGTGGTTACAGAAATAGTTTTAGGGGAATTTACGTTGATACGAAGCTTATGCAGTTTGGAATCATTATGGCCAAATGTTTACAGTACAACATTTTTCCGCATCTGAGGAAGGGAACTGTCGTTTCTGGAAAACATTTCATTAGGAAATCCTAAAGAAATGTTAACTGTTTTTTACATTATCATTTAGTAAGAAATTCTTATTTTTCTACAAACAACGCGACGGCATTCGTCACATACAAATAGCTCAAACGCGACGAAAGAAAATAATAGATACTATTAAAAAAAAAAAAAAAAAAAAAGGAATCGCCGAACAGCTAACGAGACATCCGTATTGCTGTAACAAAGAAGCTTCCCTAATTGGACGGGTGACTTACGACTTCCTGTCTTTCATGAATATGAGAAATGAACGACTTATAAATAACGGTTTACCGTAATGTTTGAAAACTATGTTTTGATACGTGATGAGGCTGTTATAAAAGTTTTAGAGAATAATTAGAAAATTAAACTTCTAATTATAATTTATAAATAGTTATAAATTGCATTTTAGAGTAATTGTAGTGTATAATAAAACATTCATAAGATAAATCTCTTGAATATTCCGCGATTTTTTATGTAAGTATATTTACTGCCGATATGTCACTCGTCGTGATTAGCTAAGGATAAAAATAAATATAACCTAATATAAAAATGTGGCGCCTTAGGAAGTGAATATTTTCTTTATCAGAAGTATATACGCATAAACGTGCGGTCGCATATGCACACCCTCACATAGTCTGTAACTCGCTCTTTTTTTCATTGGCACATTTTATGTTTGAATAACATCGTTCTAACTAAGATATTGCCTCTAGTACAGTGGCGAATAATTATTCTTGTTACTATGAGAACTCATTATAGTGCATCGGGTTAGTAACATAAAAAACAGTTCTGTTTTCTGGTATATAACGTCATGTAGTCCAGTGAAAGCCAACCAGAAGACAGAAACATACATAATGACCGCTGTGAGAACCCCAGAGTCTACACAAGAGTCTACTGTTTTTGGAAAGATAAAAATAATGTATATATATTTAATGGGCACAACATTGTATGAATTTCATAGATCAGTTATAGAACGAGGGCTGTTTAGGGAAATATGCAGTTCATTTTTAAGAATTAATTGATAGCTAAAATATAAGTTTAAATAACATTTTGTCTGTAAAACTCTTCTGAGTAATTTAATAAAACGTTTCAATAATTCTATATTATGAAAACACTTGGATTGGTTGATATAATGAAGCTGGATTTCGAATTTCAGAACTTCAATTCATAAATAATATCAGAATGAAAGTCTTGCCTCTTTCTCGATTACCTGACATTCGTAAAACAAAATGGCATGTTACAGTCATAAATGAAAGACTAACAGGAAAAAAGTAAGACAGGAAAATAATTGTTTTTAATGTTTGTTGTCCTCAACATAAGAATATTTCTTCAAGAAATTCTCTCTTGTAAGTTTTTGCAACATGAATTTCATCAAGTGCACCAACAATTCGATCTCTCTATGTGTTACCGTAACGACACTTACAATACACTTCCAAGTACTGATCACACGACCGTTTAAGACGATATACTGTGCAGAGCACGGCTAAGAATGCGTTCACTGATCTTAAGTTTGCTATAGAATGCTTCGTGTCTGTGACGGTAGATAGCTACAAAGCGGTAATTTATAACTATTTGCCTGTGAGGACCAATTAAACTACAATATTTTTTTATCTTGAAGGAACTGATGTGCAACAACTGATGTCGTAAATACAACAACTGTAATCATTGTATTGCAGATGTTGTAATGATCATTGCATGGCAGAACAATTAGTCATAGTGTGTAAGGTAGTTTATGTATTGCATGCACGAGTAACAAAGAGTATTCTTCCAAATGAATTCGCAAACCCCTGCCATTTTCGCAGATTTTATGTAATGTGTGTTATTATTTTGTGTATATTTATATGTGTATTATCTGGGTGACTTTTAACAGTAACAGTATATGAAACCTTCGAAGGAATTTATAATTACAGATTTACTGGTGGTAATTCTGAATGAAAACCACAAGGAAGATAAACGATGTCTTAAAAAGTAGACGAGGACTTCGTAAAGAATAGGTAATAAATCAATTTGGGTCGATGGTCGCAAAACACTAGGAAAATTTTAACAAATGAAATTCATAACTGTTTGCTTTTATGCTTAATCCTTTAAACACAGAAATTAGACTCCGTGTATCTCCGCATATGTATACAAAACATTCTTTAGACCAGAGTTTAACAAATCTTTTCGTTCAAGACCCGAATGATAAGTTACACGTGTTACATTGGGTCCGTAAAAGGCCTCATTTGGCTGCAAAATTTGATAACTGATAAGTTTATTCCAACCGTACGTAGAGTTCATCAGTGTCAAGTACGATGTCAGTATGCGTAGTATGATTTGGCAACAGAGAGGTGTTACTTGTGCATTCAGGTATTGTTCCTCCTATACCAAAATATTGCGGCTGTAACATTCGGTTGCCTTCACCTTTCTGTGTTGTATAGTTTCTTGTCGAATTAACAGTTTTACTTTCCAGTCTTAACTCGCAACTGTTTTCATGATACAATAAATAGACTATCAGATATTACAAAAATCTCACATTAGCGCCAGGGACCGGAGCTAAGCTGGTACGATCCGCCCCGCCCAATCTCTCAACGAATTCCATCTCCGTAAATTCTTGAAATGAGAAGTTTACACAGGGTTCATTAATGTTTCCCATAGCCTATCGCCGTAAGTTAGCAGTCACAGTTTGCAGCAGGTATATTGTTGGAGCCGAAGATTTTATTTGCCTTACGATAAGACCTGTAACACCTTTTTTTCTTTTCAGAGCGTCGTTATGCTAATGTTCCGAGAGGAAAAGAGTCCTGAGGACGAAATTAAAGCCTGGCAATTCTGGCATGGGAGACAGCACAGTGTCAAGCAGAGGATACTGGATGCAGGTGAGGAACAATTTGATGTTTCTGATGGTTAATGGTAGGAAACGGAATTACAGTTTTTCTATAAATGTCTGCTTTTCGGGTTCTGCATTGCTAGTGTGTCGTTCAGGTGGAAGACAGCAGTAGTGTATGTCCATCTATTAATGTGCAAAAAAAGAACTTAAAAATTAAAATACATAACTTTAGTTTTGCATGTAGTTAGGGATGGGTGTAAAACTTGGTCTCTGATATTAAGGGAGGATTATGTGTTCAGGATGTCTGAGATCAGGTCATTGACGGGAATGTCTGGACCAAGGAGATATGAAAGAAAATGAGGTTGGAGGAAACCGCATAATGTGAAGATTCATGACTTCTGTTTTTCGGCAAATATAATTATAATGAACACGCCAATGAGAATGAGATGGGCGGGGCATATAGCACGCATGGGAATAAAGAAAATGCATGCAGGGCTTTGGTATGAAACCTCGAGCAAAGGAAACCACTAGGAAGATATAGGCGTAGGTGAGAGGATATCATTGACTGGATTACAGAGAAATAGGATGGGGTGGCATAGACTGATTTTATCTGGATCAGAACAGGGACCAGTGGAGGGCTCTTTCGAACACGGTAATGAACTTTCGGGTTCCATAAAATGTTGGACGATTCTTGTGTAGCTTAGCGACTAATGGCTTCTGCAGTAGGGCTCGGCCCCACGGACTTAGGGCCATCTGTTCAACTTATGAACTTTCTTGTACGTTGATGTAAGTAATATCATTATGTTGGGGAACGAGAGCAGGAGGTGATAATGAATAACTTACAGCCTGTTTAAAGCTGTTATTCCGTTGCCTCACTTTTTCGAGGCTGCTGAAAATTACTAAAGTTGGTCAGGATAGTCAGTATCCGCCGAGGTTCGAGCGTCACAGCTCTAAATGTAATGTAATTATACCATCAAGCTGCCATCTACCAGCAATCCTGTTAGTTAATGCTTATTATTTATTCTTTATAAGATATGCAGGAAATGAACGCAATAAGAGCTGGTCGTGTCTGTGCGCATGCGTGAACCCGGCAGTGCCTGAGGCTGCAGAATGAACCCAGTAGTGCTCTGAGTACCTGGGGCGACCGGAAGCTTTCTCCCTTGTCAGTGCATCACTCTAACGTGGATGGCCAGAGCGTTGCTAAGCAACGACTCGGTAAACAAACCTCAGCAATAGAGAGACTGTTTTCTGTGGTCCGGGGCTATGCAATGGTTTTGTAAACACGTTTCAACACTAGAGGCTGTATTTTACGTGGGGACCGTGCAAAGGAGTTATCTTAAAAAAAACGGCACTACAGTTCAGTTCTGAGTTCTGAGTTCTCGGTAGAAGATAGCCAAGGAAAGTTCGCCGACCTGTGAAGACTTGGTGTGTGATTAGAAGGCTTCATTCACATGTAATACTTGGAGTGTGTGAATAAGTGAGACGGTTACCAAGAGAGCACCAGAGAGTGTGTGTTTGTAAATCAGCGATAGCGCTGTATTTAGCTGTAATTAAGAGAGGTTGCAACCAAAGTGCTGATAAATCCAATCATCCGAACTAGAACCCGTAATTTTCTTTGCGCGTACCACCCTACACGTGGCCATACATACATGTTCAGCACGAACAACACCCAGAATTGGGATGTAAAAACATGCAATTGTTTTCTTCAAAATTATGACTTTATATCTATATAAACGGAAATTAGCTTGCTATAGGCGCATGCACGCACAAACATTCTGTCTCCATACTTTCTCCGTTTTATCTTTCCTTCCTTAATGTATCTTTTGTTCCTTTCTTCACCACTTCAATACCTTCTTTTATACGATTTTCCGCTCTTAATATTAATGAAAACGACGTTTAATGTACCGCCAAGAGATGCAAGTATCCTGTAGTCGCGCCGAAAGGACGCAGAAGATGGGGCTCATTCCTTCAGCATTTCGGAATATGAAAGTGCATGGCGTTGTGACGCGCTAAGGAATGAACGCTCCCTCATTTTCCGTCTCCTTGCGGCGTTTAACTTATTAATTGGAACTATACTGGATAACATGTGACCCACTTATCTAACCAGAACCGGGATACGGCAGTCAGTAGAGGGACTGGCTACTGGCTCAACGGTCGAGGGGTCGAAGTTAGAGTCCCGGTGAGGCCCACATTTTTCTCTTTTATACGTTGTCCAGACCGGCACCGGTCCCCAACCAACCTCCTATCCAATGGGTACCGGAGGCTCTTTCCCCGGGTGTAAAGCGGCCGAGGCGTGAAGCTGATCACTCACCTCCAGCTATTGCCGAGGTCAAGAAAGTATGGATATATAAATCCACTTCCCCATACGCCTTCATGTTGTTAAGCACAGGAACAAATTTACCTTATACCTTCCTCCAGAGAGTGAATTTGCAGGTTTATTTGGGCCCCAATGTAAATCATTTTTATGACCAATGTTGGTAAATGATATGCAAAATGTTTTCTCGGAAGTAGGCTTTGATTCATGTCAGGGATACTTTAGTTGCTGTTATATTTACGTGAATGAACTGCAGCCGAGGTAAAGATGACAACTGCAATTATTTGATAAAAGGACTGAAGGACTTCAATAAAGGATGCGGCTCAGGCGCGAAGGTCAATTCTGCACAGTATACATTGGTTGCAGAACTTCAAGAAGAAAAATAAGTTCATTATTGTCTTGTTTGAGAAGCGTTTGGTTCGAATCTCACTCAGAGTAGTATTATCTGATAGAAAAATTAAAATTCATAATAATTCTCTCGAACACGATTGGCCACCATAATACTGGGGTTCACAGACCGAAGAGACGTTTATGGCGGCCGGTTGCTAATGCTACCGCTGTAGGAAGAATGAGCGTCAGTGGTTTGCCGGGGAATAGGTGAGTGACCTCGTGGAGGCCTCGTCCGAAGCCATGCAGGTACCGCCGTTACTGCAGGGTATATTAAGAGGACACCATATGTGATTATTCTGTCAATTTGCTCCAATAATTTCATCCAGTTCTTGATGAAAGTTACGGTTATCATGTAAATTCTCCTTCACGCAATTTTACTCTCCGTATCATCCAGAAAAAGTATGCGATGTATTAGATATATAATATAGCTATACTATAATTTGTTGTTTATAACAGTCTGAAAATTACTTTTTCTAAAGCATAACATAAACCCTTCTTATAATGATAATGGCCATATTAATTCATTCTCTTCTGTTCATGTGAATACTGTAAAATAACCGGAATTTTTTAATAAATAAGTAGCCGGGATAGCTCAGTCGGTATAGCGACTGCCTACGGGCTAGACGAGTTCGAGTCCCGGTAGGGTCAAGAATTTTCTCTCCTCCATGTCGTCCAGACCGGCTCTGGGGCCCACCCAGCCTACTATCAAATGTGTACCGGTGGTTCTTTCCCCGGGAATAAGGCGGCCGGGGCGTGAAGCAGACCACTCATCTCCAATTAGTGCCGAGGTCAAGAAAACGTGGGTCTATACATCCACTCCCCCATACTCCTTCATGGCATAGTTCTTAATTAGTTAAATACAGGGACACCTTTACCTTTTTAATAGAGGAGCAGCTGGTTCCATGGAGTTTGTTAATTAGTTACTATTCGAAAATGTGTTAAATATTATTTTTTCAAGAACGTAGCTATCAATCTGTACGCAATTTTTCATAAAATTCAGATTCAGATTTTGGTGAAGCGGATGAGAAGGGTGTATGGTCAGTTGTTCTTTTATTGTACACGGTGCATGTCTTTCTCTTCAACTTTCATATTACTCTCGTGAATTAAAATCAACACAAATCTCAGCGTTACACAGTGGCGATGTTTACAGCTTACCATCACATTTACCAGAACACTATTGCAGAAACACAACTATTTAACTCTTTCTTGTATGAAATGTTTTAAACGAAACCTTCATATGAAGGCCATAAGAATATTGTCGAATTCTCTGACGCGCGTATGCATCTAATCCAACATTTCATAAGTCTGAATGAATCATTGTAGTCTACAAACTAATAACGTTTAACATTATGTTTCAGTCATTTTAATAACGTGATCCACATAGACTGAAACTCCATACAGTTACAAAGATAATGTACCTAATTATAATATTTTTTTTTTCTTGGCACTACAGCCCCAGTGGGCCTAGGCCTTTCTCCATGAACTTCTCCGTTCACTTCGGTTTTTCTAGATCTTACGCATTCGGCAGGACTCCTTGGGTTGGTGATCAGCTCGTCGCAAGGCCTCTACCTGTACACAAACACAGAAAAACGCACACACACAAACTAAACATCTATGCCCTGAGTGGGATTCGAACCAACGATCCCTGTTTCCAAGCCAGCGAAGACAGTGCATGCCTTAGACCGCTCGGCTACCGTGACCGGCACTTATCATAAATACCTTTACTAATAGTGCCTGTAGTAGACCCATCAGCTGCAATCCTTTTGATTCTAACTTTTTCTTTAATTCGCTTAGTTTCATGATCACTTTACATTCGGTAGGACTCCTTGGACTAGTGATCAGCTCGTCGCAAGGACTCTACCTAACCACAGGACAATACAAACACAGGTATATACACATACAAAACATACATGCCTTGTGTGAGATTCGAACCAAGGATCCCGACTTCCGAGCTTGCGAAGACAGTACATGCCTTAGACCGCTCGACTATCATGGCCGACTTCCTATGATATACAAACTGAATTTATATATAAAATTTGGAGCAAATTAGTATTCAAAGGGTAAACAGCTCTCTAAATTTAGAGCTCAACTTAGAAACTATTAAATGTAATCTTGTAACGAGAGGTGCACAACAACGGATCGAAGCCGGTGCAATGTGTGTGAACCGCATGAGGTTGGAGACCAGCAGACTTCCCACGTCTGTTGTATAAGAGGAGAGGCCCGAATGGTATAGAGTTGCACTCAGCGGTGCGACAATATATGTAAGCCGACAGCTTTGGTGTAAGGCTTCAGAAACTCTATATCTCGGTAGGAGGCTGGATTACACAGAGGCTCTCATTTCAGGC